CACACACACACACACACACACACAATTAAAAATAAACTGAACCCTTAAAAGCTAGCAAAACCTAGTATTGACAGCTTGGTTTGTTAGTAGGATAATATTTTTTAAAACAAGTAACTCTTGGGTTAGAGATGGATCAGACATTAAAGGCTAGGCTCACAACCAAAAGTATAAAGTAAGTGATTCTTGCATTTCTTTTTAAATTTGTACCCATAATTCTAGTGAAATGCAGCCCTCTCCTGTCCCACCTAACAGAATAAGGAAAGATTACTCAGTATTTATTTTTACTTCATAGCATGTACTAATCATAATGTCCCTGCTATAATATACAAATGATGTTGGCCAGTAACTTTTAGCATGTTATTAAAATTGTCAAAATGGAAAGAAGAATATATTCCATGAAGTTTGAAAATGAAGCAGAGCGTTGTTGGCACACACCTTTAATCCCAGCACTTGGGAGGCAGAGGCAGGCGGATCTCTGTGAGTTCAAGGCCAGCCTAGTGTACAGAGCAAGGTTCAGGACAGGCTCCAAAGCAATACAGAGAAACCCTGTCTCGAAAAACAAAAACAAACAAACAACAACAAGAAAAGAAAAGAAAATGAATCATCTATGACCTAAGGGAAGGGTATGTCAGGGGCTGACTGACTAGTAGCAGGGTGACATCAGTAGCAATTGTTAACACTAGGGACAATTGCCACTCAACATTCAGGGGATGTTCAGCACCAAGGACAGCAACACACACACACACACACACACACACACACACACACACACACACACACACAAAAGCAATAGTGTGAATGGTGTGCACCAAGTCATTTACCGCATACAAGGACTGGTCAGCACAGAGGACAGTGACACGAAGAGTCAGGCTGTAAATGGAAGTTTGTTTAAAGGGGTTTCTTGTTGGAGTTCCTAAGTGTTTTGCCAGAGCCCAAGGAAACACCACAGCAAGGTTTCATTCTTGTGTTGATACTGCTCGTCAGTAGTTTCCTTCTGAGGCTGGCCCATCCAGTCTACAAGTACTGAACACTTCCCCTTGCGCAGAATGCTTTGTAGCTGTTGAACGACCCTGGGGGACAGAGGCAAAGCCAGCAAGAGCCTGTGTTTCAGGCTCATGTCAGGAGTCATTTCCAGAGTATAACAGGACCTGTGACATCTGAGCAGATCTTGTGTCTGGGAGCACTCAGCTGGCCTTAGGGGATAGAGGGACACCAAGAGCAAGAGGTGAGGGGACAGAATTCAGCTCCTGCATTGAGGATGATAGCCCAAGCCTTCTCTGTTGCCTGTCACTTGGGTAAGGGCCTATTTTCTTCAAAATTGTCCCCACATTATCCAGCTTGATGTACCACGATATCACATTTTGGTCTCAGGACTCAACAGTCCAGGTCCCTGGGATGCTACTGTTCAGATTCTCTGCTTAGCCACCTCCTATCCAGCTCTTAGGTCTCAACACAGACACAGTTCTTCCCAGCCCCCAGTCAGAACTGTGTGTGAACCAGAACCTACAAGAACAACTGGTCCCAGAGAGGTAGAGCAGAAGGCCCGTGGGGTCCAAATGAAGTCTTTCAAGAGTACCCTTCAGCCCTAGATACTTTCCCTTCATGAAAAGTAACAGTTCAAATCTGTGAATATGCCCGATGATTTTTGCAGTGACAGCAGACATCACTAGCAATCTCATTTTACTCATTTCTTGGTGTATTGTCATTTTCCAGGAAACACTTAGTGAGTAGATGCCATTGGAATATGCCAGTCAAGAAGCTGGTGATGTGCATGGGGGAGGAGACCGTGGCTTGGTTGTTCTGGGGTCTGGCAGTGTGCTTGTGCTTACGGGATGCAAGGAAGACTGAAAAGGGAGGAAGGTATGTAATAGTGTATGGGATAAAGTCTACAGGAGAGGTGGGCAGAGAACCTGAGAGAAGAGGCTTGTATCAACTTGAGATGAAGGAGAACACTTTGATTAGTAACCTGCCTCAACATACACTCATCCCCTGGGTGACCACCTGAAGACAGTTGCCTGTGGGGGTTTTCCAATCCTTGCATGTACTTGTGGTCAGAAACATTCTGGTCACACCAGAGTGCCTGTGCTCCTTGCCATCCTCTGTTCAGGTCTGTTGAGTTGATTTGGGGCAGCTCTAAGGACTGTGAAGTCACCAAAGGGCTTTCTGTAGCATGTTTTGCATGGCTCTCTACCCGAGAGACAAATTTTCTCCAGTGGCATTTTACTGGGAAGTTTGACTCCAGCCCTGAATTCCATATGTCAGGGTAGGTGTCTTAGAACAAAGCAAGATGGAACATATGTGAAGAGATCGCTTGGCTAGAGTTTGCCATATTTGAGAGGTCTGACAACAGCATAGCGTTTCTGGGTTGGTTGTGTCTTGGGGTGGAAGAATTACCCCATGATTATCACTAATTTTGTGACACACACTGTGCTATTGAATAGCTTGTTAAGACATTGGACGTCAAAAGCCAAGCCCTGTGACATGCCCCTTGTGTACTGGAACCTGTAGCATCAGCTTACTTTGCTTGGGTTGTGCAGACCGAAGGATATTGGAAGAAGCAAGAAGTGGCCAAATTCAAGAAGCATGGTGGCCAGACCGAATCAGCAGCTGCCACCCGGCCTTCTTTGACACCCAAGCTTCTCTGTGGCTGTGCACGAGTCCTCATGTCCACAGTGTCTCACAGGAGACCTGACTGAGAGCTGGCAGATTCTATCCATCTTCAGAAACCCAGTTTGTAGAGTTTTGAAATGCTTAGTAAAGCACCCAGGGAAATATTTTGCTAGAAAAGTAATAATTGTTCACGATATAGACATTATACTCTAGAACCATGAAGTGGCAAGTGAAAAGCTGTTCTGGGATAACAGCTTCTCGGACAGCCATCCACAAGGTTTCTTTCCTGTCCTTTTCGTGGCCTTACCTTTTACCCTGCTTCATGGAAGCAAATGGCTTATGTTTCTATTCAGCAGCAGCAGCATCTGCACACCTGCTGATGTGCCCGGGGCATGTTTCTATAGCAGCATGAGAGGTGGCAGCTTCAAACCTACTTCCTGGTAGACATTATGATTTTATTCTTGGGCCATTTGTATGTTGACAGTAGTGTCACTGTATACCTTGTTCTGTGAAGTCTCTGTAAATATTTTCACTTATTGGAGAGAAGAAACCAGAAGGATCTAGTACTGGAACTCAGATTTTGGGGTCTAAATTGTCTTTTGTTGTAGATTGCTTTTATTATGTTGAGATGTGTCTCTAATAACTATATTCTCCAGGATTTTTTTTTTAATCATGAAGTTATGTTGGAGTTTGTCAAAGTTTTTTTTTTCCCCTACATATAATGAGGTGTCGTGTGCTTTTTGCCCCTGAGGCTATTTATGTGGTGGATTACTTTATTCTTGTTGAATTCATCCCTGCATGTCTGTGATAAAAGCCCATTTGATCATGTTGGATGATCTTTTTGATGTGTTTCTGAACTTTGTTTGCAAGTATGCGGTTGATAATTTTTGAAACTATGTTCATCAGGGAAGTGACCTATAATTCCCTCTTCTGTTGGGTCTTTGTCTGGTGTTGGTATCAGGGTGCTTCTGGCTTTGTAAAAAGAACTTGGAAGTCTGTCTGTCTGTCTGTCTATCTATCTATCTATCTATCTATCTATCTATCTATCTATCTATCTATCTATCTCAGACTAACTCGAGGAGTGTTGATGTTAGTTTTCAGGGTTTGGTAGGATTCTGGGCCAATCCATCTGGCCCCTGGCTTTTTCAGTTGGGAGAATTTTAATTACTACTTCTATGTCATTGGTTGTCATGTTTAAGTTATTTGCTTCATCTTTATCAAACTTTGGTAGGTCGTGTAACTAGAAATCATCCATTTCTTTTGCATTTTCTAGTTTAGTAGAATGTGAATTTTTAAAGTATGTCCTTAGAGATTCTGGCTTTCCCTAGTGCCTGTTGTAATATCATCCTTTGACCTCTAATTGTATTAAGTTAGTGTTCACTCTTTCTCTTTCTGTGGATTTGGCTAAAAGTTTGTTTCTTTTCAAAGAACCAGCTTTTCATTTTATTAATTCTTTGTATTTTTTCACTTCTATTTTATTAATTTCCACCCAAGTTCTAGTTATCTCCTCTCATTTACTTTTTCTGAATGTTGTTTCTTTATGATTTTCTGAGGCATGAAGTTATTAATGTGAGATTGCTCAAAAATTTTGATGTAGGCACAGCACTATAAACTTCCTCTTAGCCTGAGACGTGTTTGGGGTCAGAGCTACCCATGTTTTCCAGGATAAGAATGAATTTCAAGATTAATACAGGATTTTGAAAATCATGCTTGGTCCTGAAGTTTAGAGTTAGTGATTGGAACAGAAAGATTTGAGGTCTTTGGTGGGCTTTGTTTGAGTCCTGAGGTCTCTAGCTGTTATTTCCTGATTCTGCTGTCCCTCCTGGTGGAAGCAGTGGCCCCTGCTACCCTGGGGTGGATGGGACCCCATCTGTGTACTTGGCTTTGCCATCTAGTGCTCAGGCACATTTCATATTGCTTGGATGAGACAATGCTTGCTCTCACTGGAGAAGCCGGGCAGTTTCCATATACTCCGTACTGCTGTTGAAACCAGGAGTTGTGTAAACTCTTATTTCTTATTGTCAGATCATGGTTGTGCTCAATATTGAACTTTGCCTTCTTGCCCTGGTATGCATGTATGTACAAATACATATTTAAATAAGTAAAATTTGTTGTTTAACTTCATTAGTGTCATTAACTTAAACATAAAAATAAATGAGTGAAATACTAGTTTGGCTTTGTAGATCAAGCTTGGGATTTGATGGTTGTTGCAGCTTTCAAAAGGATAGAAGGGGAACCTTCCAGAGAGACTGGAGCTCCAGTGCTGTGTGCAAATGTTTGCACTTTGATTTTTGTGAGATAAAGTTGCTTCAGGTACTTTGTATTTGAGTGTCATGTCAGAGGCTTCATTTCATGATTGTTTACTCATTCACATGTATTTTTATTTTTAGCTCTAAGCAAAAGACATGAGGCCTCAGCCGAAATGAGATGGTTAGAGGTCATCCGGTTTCTAGACGTGTGCGGTCACCTGGTCCTGAAAGTCCTCCACAGAGAATGGTAATGACAAAATCTAAGGATGGAGGGGGGCCTTGTGTCTCCACCTGCCCCACCCCCACCCAGGACCTCTCCCTGTAAGATGTAAAAGTTCCTAACTTACTGATGTTCTTTCTCTAAGCTGGTAAAAAATAGCAGCAAAAACATCAGAAAATCACAGGCAAATCAAATGTTTTAGGTGTGTAAAAACCTGTTTTTGTTTGTTTTTCTTAAGTAGCAATAAAATATATGCCATATGAAAAGCCCTGAATCCTTAGGAATTTGCATGCTGAAAACCAGTAGGATTTTCTCCTGAACAAAAGGAAATCCAGGCTTCCTAATATTTTATATGCAAAAGAAAGAATTCCTGCCCAGGTGTTCTGTGATACATTTTCAAAAGTTACATCACCTTTTGAGGATCAGTTATTTCTTATTTAATTATTTTACATGTACCAGTCAGCTCTGTTTTAATTGTTAATGTTCAAAATATGTTTTCTGTATTTATATAGTTTATAGTGGAAAGGAGTAAAACTCTGGGATATTTATTTGTATATATAATACATATATGCTAATCTTGGGAGGTGTTATCTCTCTTGTTTGGTTTATTTTCATGGACCAAATCCTGCTTAGAGAAAGGAATAGATGCTGAGCACCTTTAATCCCGACACTCAGGAGGCAGAGGCAGGTGGATCTCTGTGAGTTCGAGGCCAGCCTTATATACAGAGCGAGTTCTGGAAGAGGCTCCAAAACAGACTGACTCTAGAGAAAAAAAAAAACCAAAAAAGAAAAGAAAAAAGAAGGAAAAGGAATAGGCTTGATTCTGGGAGAGACTAAGATTCTTTGCTCATATTCAAAAGGTGTCCTAAGCCATTAACTCAGAGAAGGGGTTCTCTGTCATTTCATATCCTGCATTAGAAACAGTCCCATTAGCTTCTAAAATAACCTCACAAGTTTGCTGCATTTTAGCCTAAGTCATGAAGGTGCTTCAATACTGAGCTCTGAGAGGGATCAAATTTCATCCAGTTTCACAGGTCATGTAGAAGACAAGTTCCAAGTTGTTTGTTACCCGGTGGGCAGTTTCGTTTTAAAGCAATGCCATGTTGCTTTTCATGGACACCCATCAGTACTCCTGTGCCTTGTTTCACCTTTGTCTGTAGTATGTTCTCAGCCTATAACCTTACGTGTTGACAGTGGCAAGATTCAGGGAAGGATTCCCTTTACATCCGTGACATTTTATGATGAAAGAGCATTGTTCACCTGCTCCAAAGTCTATGCTTAGAGCTCTGGCGTCAGTGGGTCGCCTAGGAGAACTACACTTGTCTGTGTCTCAGCTTGTACTCACTGGCCTGTCTTGTCCTGTTTTAGAAAAAAGCAGTATTAGGGGTTGTTCCTATATTCAGGGTTACACTTCTGTTGGAAGGGAGAACTCTGAGCTCTTGGTTTTCTATAGAACAATGCTCTGGCCTTAAGTGGCATGGTTTCTAAACCACAGTAGAGGAGTTGGCCATGGTTCATTTTTGTGTAATTAACATTGTCTTATAAGAAGGGTCAGAGCTATATATTTCTGTAGCCATAGTCCCAGCTCTTGAGAGGCATAGCAACATGTGAGACTCCCCAGGTGTCGGAGTGGGAGAAGGTCTTAATGAGAAACAGTTACTGGCATTGCTGATGCCTGTATACTTAGAAATTGTACTGTCTGGCTGGGCTTAGTGGCCTGCGCCTGTTATCCCAGCACTCCAGAGGCAGAGACATATCAGTCTTTTTGAGTTCTAGGCCATCCTAGTCTATACAGAGTGCTAGGCTAGCCAGTGCTGCATAGTGATGAAGACTCTCCCTCTCTGTCTCTCCCTCCCTCTCTCTCCCCCCACCATACCCCTGATTTCTTATTACCCAAAACAAACAGGCTTTTTGGTTTGTTTGTTTTTTTCAAATAGAAAAAAGAAAGCAAAGCAGGCACACTTGATTATGCTGGTCCCTTTTGAGGTTAGAAGAACTTGGTATATTTTTAATGATAAAAGCCAGAAGTTAGTGCACTGGAGGACAAACATCAGCCACTGTCACTCAGCTAAAAAGTAGCTTCTAAACATGTGAATTATTCAAGAAAAAGCCTGTGGCTTCATTCATGCACCTCAGTGTCTTCACCACGGTGACCACTTCCAAGGGAGGGCAGGACTAGTGCTAGTAAAGACTTAAACGTGTGAAAAGGTGTTGACCCAGCAAATATTAAACAAGCAAGTGGCACATATGAGTCTAGTTGGATATTTGTTTTGCTGTGTGGAAACCACTTTGTCTTAAAGTGTAAGAGCCACTATAGCACAAGTAAAGCATTAATGTTGAAATGTTTTATAATTTATAAAAGTAAATATTGACCTTTTCTGAAAAAGTCTTTTCTTTTGCCCTTGTTTAATTTATTTCCCTTTTTTGTTTTTTAGGTTTGCAATTTTTTTTTGGTGATGACATGTTCAGAATCTTGGATCCCTAAGTTGAATGTTGGAAATATGTAGGAGCCTTGGAAGTTATGTTGTTTTCATATTTTAATGTTTTGGTAGGTGAATCAGTAGACTAATAAATGTATGTAAAGTAATTCTGTACTTGCAGCTGACAGGTGTGTCTCAGGATTGTCACCTGTCTGTGCTCTGGAGACAGTCTGCTTCGAACGTTCTCTGTGGACCTCTCAAGTTCTGGGCAGTGTGTGTTCCTCCTGTTGTGCTTTGGTTCACTGGTTTCCTTGCCTACCTGCCTTGCAATGTGAGCTGCTTAGAACACAGGAACTATTGATCAGAAGTTAAGAGAAGAAAAAGCATCCAGTGTTAATCTTAAATGCAGTAATTACAGAGTTTCTACCTGGAAATTCTCTCACAAGGTCTACATTAGAATATGTAGGTTTTTGTTTTTTACAAATATATGTGTGGCCAAATGCTGCCAGGTTTTAAAATTAGACATTATTGTCAGCCAGCGGTGCTCACATGGAGGGAGTAAGCTGTTGGCTTTCACCTCCTTCCTCTCTCCCTCCTGTGATGTGGGAGGGCTTGGTGGTCTGTGTAAAAGGAGAAACCCTGAGAAAAGGCCTCAATTTCCTGGAAGGATTAATTTTCCTAAACAACAGTATCAACAGAAATCAACAGATTTGGCTCCCTTCCAAGTGTGGGCAACTCTCATGTAGAATGTGGGTGGGAGAGTATTCAGTCACCAACAGATGGATGTGTGGTATAGAGCAGATCACAGAGTCTGTAGTCATTGGTGGTTGGTTGTCCCTTGCCTTCCTCCTCTGCACCTGCTGGAATTCAAAGACTTGAGGATACTTAGTTATTTCAGTCATTAACTCTGGAGCTTAGTTAATTAGTGGTCGATATGAGTGCATCCCTACTCTTTATTCAGTGGTCAATATGAATGAGTCCCTGTTCTTTACACCCTGACTGAGGAGTAGGGATTATAAAGACCAAAGTTAGAACAACTTGGAAGGATGAAGAAAATGCAGGAATCTGGAGAGACTGAATAGTACCTCAGGAAAGTCATGGTGTGTTTTATTACTAGTGAGTTGTCCATTGTTCCTGTGGCCACAGTTACCCTCAGGTTTCTGTTAGAAGGTTTTCAGAAACTGAAGGTCTGTACTACTGCCAGTGGCCCCCTTTTAATTAAAATGTAACTACATCATTTCCCCTCCTTGCCTTCTCCCTTTTCAGTGGGATGATTCACATGATACTTAGTAGAAAGCACACTGGAAAACACTAATTAGACTTGTTTTTTAATTATTACATACCAATGTACACATGTGGTGTCTTTTTAGCTGCTTTCTGATTACAACTGGCTTTTAAAAACTCTCCCTCCATGATACTTCTGTCAATAGAGGTTTCCTTTTAGCCAGTTCTAGCCACAGTATTAATTGGGCCTGAGTATCTAATACACCCAGAAGGAATTAACCAGCCAGGAAAAAACTTTGTCCCCACCAGAATAAATATTTTAAACATCTTCTTAGATTCTGAAAACCAAGAGTACAAATGAAAGAGACTTAAGAAAGAGAACACTTAGGAGCCAGGCAGTACAAAGTGAGGGTGGGCTGCACATGGAAATCCACAGAGTAGAACTGTGGCAACAGAGTGTATCCTGGAGGGGAAGAAAATGCTGGAATGTCTCGTACGGGAGACATTCTGTGTTGTCATGGGTAGCTTTCACCAGCATGCCATGGTATTTAAGAGTAGTGAGGCCAGTGTTTGGAAATACTGATGTATTGCCTAATGGTGAGTTTGAGTTATTCTGGCATGGTCTAAATGTATTTGTGGCTCAATGGTTAATTTAATTTCAAATAAGTATCTTAAGTATTAGAGAAAATATATTAGCAATAAGACTTTTGTTCCTTTGTATAACTTTACAAAATAGTATAGAATATCATGTATAGTGGAGAGCTGAGGGCATGGGTATGGTCATAATGGCCGCCTCCCAGAAGCTTCTGAATTAAAACGTTAAGACTGTACTCAATTTTGTTTTACTTGTAGTATCAAGTAGAGAGCATTTTAGTGTGTCTCTCATGGGAAATCTGTCCTTCCTGGGTCAATGTGCTTCACAGCCTTGACACATCACATTCCAAAGAGTACAGATCTGTGAGTTTCACACATTAACAGAGGAACCCGGAGAAGCTGAGTGGAGCCAGCTCCCTGTGTTGGGGAAGTTGTAGAGAAACTCCACATGGAAATCTGCTGGAAGCTAGGGTTCCTTCACCAGCCCAGCTGCACTGGCAGAGCATATCTGTGCAGTCTCTGTACATATAGGGACACTGGTGTGTGAGGATGTCCTGGCATACGGGGGTTCTGTCACTTGCTCTGATGTTGATTTCCTCCCTCAGTGGTTTTCTGCTTCCAAAGGTGGGACCTCCAGGCTGAAGGCTGCCCACTGTCTCTTCACACAGAAACCTGCAGCCACACGATGGAAACCTCCTGGAGAAAGGGAGCAGATCCTGCAGAGGCCTCTCGTGAGGACACGTGGAGAAGGTGGAACCTGAGGCATAGGGCATGGCGGTGTCTTCTGTTGATCGATGTTTATTTTATTTCATAAGGAGTTGAATAGTAACGCCCTTTAATATGAGTATACTTCTCACCCCCATCCCCAATTATTGTAAAAGTTTTCTCAAGTGTGACCTTTTATTATGTCAGGATAGTTAAGTTCTTGGTGTCAAGTACTTGTTAAATTATGTAATAGTGACTGGAGATTTGGGACTCTGTTGTGACTTGTAAATTTGAAGCACATTTTCAGGAAAATTATCAACATTTCCAGTCGACTCATTTTCATTCCTTTCAGCTTCTCTGGTATATAGTCTTTTCTGAGGTTGCCAGCTGGAGGAGATACCCCCACTTTGGTGGCTGCCTTTGATTTGCACCACTCAAAACCTAATTTGTCAGAAAGTCCATTTTAACAGTCTTCTTCTCTCCTTGGTGAAATCTCAGGTCACCTCCCTGTTCTGTACAGCTTCTCTCTGAAGGTGAAGCCTAGAGACTTGAAGAAACACTACCACTAGGACTAAGTAATAGAAGAGTATCACCAGGGTAACACCAGCAGAGCATCCTCGGTGACATGCTGTTGGTATCTTCGATGAATTTGACTGACATTTACAAGCTGGATGTATAGACATAAAGTAATCTCATAAGTTATATCCTTAATGTCAGTACAGGTCACCTCTGAGGCATTTGTGTTTGTGTGGTCTAGAGTTGATGACCCATTCTGCTGCAAAGGATCCAGGTCAGTTAACCTGACTGAGATAGCATTTAAATAGAATCTGAGGTGTTTTATGTCTCTAGAGAGTTTTCTGCTTTGGACTTTTGTGGTTTTAAATCCACAAGAAGAGGGTTCTGGAAGGAGAGCTTGAGTTGATCCATGCTTCAAACACATGCTTTCTGTGATGACAATAAAAACATTGAATACAAGGGATTCAAGAGTTTGTTGGAATCCTGCTGCATCTGTGCTGCTCATCTTCCTAGACAATTCCATCACGGTTCCTTCTAGCTCTTCAAGATGGCTCTGTCTGGCTGCCAAGTCCCACGTGGACATAGAAGTATCAACATACAGCCCCCCGTCTTTCCCATTGTCAGGTTGCATTCCGCTGGAAACGGGAGCTTCACATCAACTTGCTGACTCATTCCTGACCTTCTTCCTTCCTGAAGAGAAGCAGCACTTTTAGACACAGGGACCCTGGCTATCTAAGGGATGCCTCTAGAAAGTTCACAGTACTGTATTCCAAACATGGCCTCTCAGTGTGCTGGTCTCTGCTGTTGTGGTTTCCAGGGGAATCTTCTCCAGGAGCCTAGCCTGCCTCAGGAATGGGGGACTTAGCTGATTTATGAGCTTGTATGCTTGCTAGGACCTGAAGAGAGCTAGAGGACACTACTGTGTCTCCCTTGGTACCTAAAACAAGCAAACAACAAAACAAAGATCACATAGAGAAAATGTCTGTGTCAGCAGGATTTGTCCAAACCATAAGCCAACTTTTTAGGCCCACATGAATCTTCATTGAACCTACATTGACTATCCAGGTGTTTGTAAGCTATCATGTTATCTTTGGAAAACTTTGTTACGCTAACATTAAAAATAAGATTTTAAGTTTTTTTACATATACATTTCAGAAACAATACCTATGTGTTTCTGTGGACAGGCTATCCTGCTTATAATAAATTCTTGACTCTTAATAAAAATTAAATGGTTCAATTATTTAAAAACCTAACACTTTAAAATTATTTGTGAGAGTGGTGAGTGCAAGGCTGCTGCATATGAATCCTGTGGTCAGGGCCATGTGTTTTGTCCAGAGTCCCTAAGCACTTGACTATAGTCACCAAGTGCTTAGGGTACTGGAGATGTATCTCAAGTTTATCCAAGCAAAGTAGCTTTGTACTCTGAAAGAAGTTCACAGGGAAGGGAAAGACCATCTGTGTGAACCCAGTCACAGGGGCTCATGGGTACTAGAGCTCCTGCATGACTGACAGAAGGGGCTCCTGCTGGCAGCAGAATACAGGAAAAGAAACAAGGACAAACAAAGAAGCAAGGACAGTAAAAGATAAAAGATTTTAATTTGGGTGTCAGTCCCAGCACTTAATAGGCTGAGGCAGTAGGATTCCTCTTTTTCAAGGACAGTCCGGATTATAGTGAATTCTAGGCCAACCGCTCTCAAAAAAAAAAAAAAAAAAGCAAATTTTATACCACTCTCTACTGTATGTCAGGTTCATGAAATTAAAAGCTTATGCTGTTGAGTTCTCTTAAAGACAGTTATACAATTCTCATTGGTCTTTGAAGTCAGAATCCTGGGAGACACCATTTCCTGGAAGTGTAGGTCAATATTAGCATGTTGACTGAGTTCTGCCTAAAGGACTTGTTTAACTTTCAGGTCCCTTATTAGAGTTTCTGAGAACAGTTAAGGGGGAGTTCCGACAGCTACTGTAGCATGGCTTCTTAGCAAGCATTTTTGTTTTTAAAACAAATCTGACATTGTACTAGCCTGAACCAATGCTTGGCCAAGAAGTTTCTGTAAATCTCTCAGGTTACCAATATGTTAAAATTCAACTGAGAACTCAGATGTTGCAAAGACTCATGACAACACAGACTTTTTGGGAATGATTTATACCATGCTGTGGATTGTGGTGTGTGTGTGTGTGCGCGCGTGTGCGTGTGTGCGCATGCGCGCGCGTGTGCCCCTGCTCATGTATGGGGATAGTTTGCATAAAGCAGCGTTCTCCTTCTACCATGGCTTCCAGGGATTGGACGTGGGCTGTCAGGTTTGTGTGGCAAGTGCTTTTACTCACTAACCCGTCTTTCTGGCCCTGATTAATCAATTTTTCTTTCTTTTTTTTCAAGACAGGGTTTCTCTGTATTGCTTTGGAGGCTGTCCTGGAACTCTCTCTCTAGAGACCAGGGTGGACTTGAACTCACAGAGATCCACTTGCCTCTGTCTCCCAAGTGCTGGGATTAAAGGTGTGTGCCACCAACGCCCATCGATTAATCAATTTTTAACATTTCCACTTAAACCTATAGCATCAAGTTTAAGGCTGATTTTTTGCATACCATTGTCTTCTTTAGCTAGATTACTTTCATTGATAAGTCCCAAAGAACTGAACCAAAATACACTAAAGGAAAAGACATAAATATGTCCATGATACCTTTGAGAGGTGCAGTCATCTTTATCTTCCCAGTGTAGTGGCATTTTCTAGAAAATATTGAGTACAGTAATGCCAGTTTCCATACTGTGTCTACTTAAAGGCCAGCCATTGTGCTAAGTGTGTCAGTGAATTTCTGGAGATGTATATTCCTTGTCTTCTTCAAGAGTGGGGTAGGCCCTTGACTGGTGGCTCTTGCAGGCACAACATTTAGAGGAGACTCCAAGACCTTTGACCTGGTATGCAGCACTTTAGAGTTTTTCCCTGGCTCCCCAGCACTATTCGAAATTCTTCCCGGGTTGCACACTAGAGGAAGTTTGTTCTACTGTTTTCCTTAGAATTTTTTTTTTCTTAAGAGACCCAACATCTAATTCTTAGGCCCTGAGCTATAGTTAGTGAGGCAGTCGCTTCCTCCTTTCATTGGGACTTAAAAGCAAGAATGAAATTGCCAAATAAGTGTCTTGAACTCTGTGTCTCATCACTGGGCATCCTTCGGCAGACCTGCACAACCATCACCATGGGAACATAACCATTATGCTTTATGGAAGGTATCACTTGCCATTAAAATTTTGAACCAAACATTTTTAATATTCCCAAATTGAAGCAAAGATTACCATCAATACTTACTGAAACACTTCTTAAAACATGGCATGCAGAAAATTGGTAGATTAAAAATACAAATTTCTGACTGGATCTTCGATAGCAGCCTTAAGCAGGAAACTTAGATGTTTCTCTGCCTTCTAAGCCATTTTCATTTGTGCCAAATGATCTCTCAACTTTCTCTTAGAAGTTGGAGTGGTAGGTTGGGGAGGGTTGCTGTTTTCTCCTTGGGTTTCTCCATAGCCTCTTTAAAAGTCAAAAATCCCGATCACAGAACAGATTTTCATGCAATTTTAAAAACCCTATTTTTGTGGAATCTTTATAGAGTATACCAAAATATTGAAGATCCTTAGAATAGTTACCCATTTGGGGGGATGGGCGGTTACTGAGCATCCAGACGGTGTGACCTGTCTGCCACTTGTGGGTGGCCCGGGCCTGCCCCCCTGTTTTTATTTGGTCTGGTTTAGCCATTGAAGTTCTTGATTTTACCAAATTGAAGGCAAATATTGGAGTGCTTCTTTACCTGCCTGCTAGCATAAGCAAAAGTTTTACAGCTTTCCAGGAAAGCCACTGTAGCTAATTGTAATTTCTTCCTTGTAGATTTTAATTTTTAGACATCTCTGTTTAAGTCAAAATTGAGTAATATTTATTCAGTATCTGTCATTTCCTTTAAAAAGTGAAGTACATTTTTGCCATCTACGGTTGATTTGGAAGCCCATTTGGAGATGTGTTCTTTATTGTGGTACACTACTCTTAGAATCTAAGAAAATAAACCTGATCATTTGGACTTGATGGAGCAGAAGTGTGTGTAAGGACCATTCCTCTGTAGACCCTGCTATTCATTCTTTCTGCCCCACTGCTCTCTTTAGAGGAAGCTGCATACCATCTTGTGTGTTTGGAATCAAGGACACCAGGAGGATGGAGGGGATATACAGCCAGGAAGAAATAATATGAGACTCCTTGGGGATCTAGGCAGGGTCAGTGCTGGGGTATCTTTGTACTTGCCCAAAACTCTTGGGGTCTGCATCATCTTCATCTTGCTTGATGGGAACTTGGGTTCCGTTAGGCTGTACAGTGCTGCTGTGGCAGATGCCTTGTCATTAGGCAGGTTTTCTGCTATCCCAAAGCTCATCAGGATGATTGAAGGAAACTCTTTCTTACCAACTAGAAGCTCTCGCTTTCCTTTATCTTTCTTCCCACCCTTTTCAGTGAGCTACACCAAAAGCTTTCTTCCAAAGACCATTTGAAGACTCCTTGCACATAAGTCTCTTCACTCTTGCATTGATGTGTTTCCTAGGTCTCAGGCACTGTTCTAGTCTCTTGGGAAATAGGCATGAGCATAAGGTTTGTGTTTGAAAAGTGATAAACTTGTGGGATATTTACTTGCCTAATTCGTTTTAGCATGTGTTGGACCTTTATTGATCTTTGGCAACACAGGGAACAGAACCATGGCCAAGAAGCGCTGTGTGATCAGCGTTCTTTGGGGAGATGAGGCAGTACTTGGTGATGACTAACAATGTCAGGGTAAGTGTCCTCCAGAAAGTGTGCCTTGAGAAATGTTTGTAAACCTTTCTGTTTTTTCTAGCCACACTAGACACAGCTGTGGGCAGCCTCTTGTCTCTGTGCTTGCCTGGCCTGATTTCCCATTGCCCAGCTCCATGGTGTGTGTGTGTGTGTGTGTGTGTGTGTGTGTACAGGGGGTTGTGGCACTTAAATGCAGAGGTTCCACCAGAAGGGAGCCATGTTCTCTAGGGGTCTGCAGCGCAGACATGAGAGAGGACAAGCCTAAAGAGAATCAGAATGAGACCAGTGCTGCAAGATGTGCATATCTGGCCACAGGGGTCCCTAGCTGTCTTCTATAGCCTCCCCTGTGAGAGTTAGTTAATACTACAGGGCCAGGATTCTTTGGCTCCTGTGGACAAGTTAGAATTCCTGGTGAGCAAGGGACAGAAGGAGTGTAGACAAATTTCTCCTTCCATCTCTACACCTTTGAGATACACATAAATTGTTTTAAAATCTTGGTATGATTTTCAGACATTATTTTCCATTAATCATTCTTGCCGACTAATCCCTCCTCCTTTCATCCTTGATGACCAACCCCTCCCCCTTCTTTTAGGTAGCTCTGGGTTTGAACCTAGATGTTGTACATGCTAGGCAGACCATTCCTTGTCTGTGTCCATAGCCCCACACTTATTTTTTTTTTAAACCGGCATTATACAAGTACACATTACTAAGATGAAGGCATCCTTTTCCATGTTTGCTCTGTGTGCCTGGACCCAGCTCTCTTGTATTAGCTTCTTGTCACTGTGACACGATACACCTGACTGAAACAACTTAACGGAGGGTATGGCAGTAGGTCATGACACCACTTGTGAAGCAGACAAGTGGGGCAGCTTGGTCAGGGCCCATAAATTCCACTACTGCAACTCTTGGTCAGCTGCCTGCACCCAATGCCCAAAGGTTCTCCAGCATCTCAATGTACTTCTAGCAGACAAGGTCACTTCGTGTCCAACCCATAGTGGCCCTACTGCTAGAAGCTAGGTTCACAGTTCAACTTCCTTTTCAGGTTTTCTATCTTGCAATTACTTTGGTATAAGTCACTGACACTTAGAAACTTGGGGTGTCTACATCTGAGGTATACTGTCGGGACTCAATGCTTCCAGATGGTCCCTCTGACACTTAGAAACTTGGGGTGTCTACATCTGAGGTATACTGTCGGGATTCAATGCTTCCAGATGGTCCCTTTGAATGGTGCATGTAGCTTTTAAAACACGGAAGCTGGACGCCTCTCTCTTTGGAATCGTGAGCCCTGTGCCACCTGTCCCAGCTGCTTGTGATGTTTGTTCCCAGCCACGTTTTGCGTCACTGACTCTGAAGCCTACAGAACTTCCCAGCCTAGTGTGAAACTGCTTTCATTGCAAGTTTTCCTAGTCTAATTAGGCAGATCAAGGAGAAGTATTCTCATC